ATGAGAGGGAACAGCCTCAGGCTGTGCCAGGGGAGGTTTAGGCTGGACATCAGGAAGAACTTCTTCACGGAAAGAAGCCTGGTCAGGCATTGGAAGGGGCTGCCCAGGGCAGGGGTGGAGTCCCCATTCCTGGAGGGATTTCAAAGCCCTGTGGATGTGGCACTTGGGGACGTGGGTCAGTGGTGGCCTTGGCAGTGCTGGGGAATGATTGGACTCGATGGTCTCAGAGGCTTTTCCAACCTCAGTGATCCTGTGATTCCATAGTCTGATCACCTGTAAGTGGTGGGGATGGTACATGTGAGGAAGAGACATCTGAGCTGAAGAACCTTCTTGGGGAGATCTCCTGGTCTGCAGTGCACAGGAAACTGTACCAGATGGTTGTATCCTTCCTTAAATCCATGGGATCTGTTTGATCTCATCAGGAGTTCATCCCACTGTTGGCTCTTTGACGGGTTAAGACCTGGGAAATACCTTTGGAGAAGAATATTTCCAAGGAGATCTTTAGTTTAGAAGACCTGGAGTTCCTGACCGAAAGCACCCGAACCCTGCCCTGGCTGCCTGGTCACCTGAGGGATTCTTGTGTCCCTGGTGTCTGTTCCTGAGCTGTTCTCCCCTCTCCCCCCTTCAGGTACATCAGCATCCTGCCAGCCATCCCTGTCACGCTGTACCTGAACCCCCAGGAGGCCCTGGAGGTGCGACATCCCCAGGAGGCCTCGCGCTACCACCCCTTCCTGGCCTCCAGCAGAGGGGATCCGGACACTGGAGCTCAGCCCGACCACACAGCCAAGCTCCAGGGCCACCAGGATGTCACCCTTTACAAGTAAAATGTCCCTGTCACAGCCTTCTGACCCTCCTCAGCCCCGGGGTTGCTTTGGGCTGGGAGACCAACACATACCTGTGGAGCTGCAGTGCCAGAGCCTGGGCTGGGACACTCCGGGCACAGCTGGATTCATCTCCCCTGGCAGGGGCCCATCAGCTGAGGGCAGGAGTGGGCTCTGCATCCAGCCTGTTTATCAACTGGGGAGCAGGGACGGGAGACTGATTTTGGGTATAAAAGCCATGATTTCAGAGAATCCCAGACTGGTTTGGTTTGGAGGAGATGTTAAAGCCCATCTCATTCCAACCCCCTGTCCAGGGCAGGGACACCTTCCACTAGCCCAGGTTGCTCCAAGCCCTGTCTAACCTGGCCTTCAACACTTCCAGGGATGGGGCAGCCACCACCTGGATATCATTTGATAATGATTTATGGGGTGTCAGATCAAACTCTGGTGGCAAGGAACTTCCTTCCCTGCCTGAATCTGCAGGTGCTGAGCACACTTTGGATTATCCCAGTCCCCATCCAGTGTTTTCTTAGTCTTAGTTGCTCTCTACTTTCCTTACTTCTACTTTCCAAGCCTCAAATCTTGTTGAAATTGTCATTTTCCCATTAAAAACCCCTTTAATTTCCAACAAATTTGCTTAAAATCTTTCTCAGCCGGGACATTTAGAGCAGCGTGTGTAATCCTGGCACAGGATTTTCCAAACCTGGAAATTGGCTCTCTCTTTTCTCTCACCTTGTCCTTGTCGTTGTGTCTGTGTGTCCCCTCCAGGGTGGCTGCTCTGGGTCTGGCCTCGGGCATCATCCTGGTGCTGCTGCTCTTCTGCCTGTACCGGGTGTTCTGCCCCAAGAACTACGGGCAGAACGGGCACGGCCGCAGGAAGAGGGGGGACCTGCCCTGCGACGACTACGGATACTCCCCCCCCGAGACCGAGATCGTGCCCCTGGTCCTCAGGGGCCACCTCATGGTACGTCACATTTGGGGAGAAATGTACCTGTCAAAGGATATGGTAGCACGAAATCTCCTGCAGTGCTTTCCCACCTCCTCCTGGGACTCGCTCTGGGCTCTCTGCAGTTCCCGTTATTGCCTCGTCCGGCCTGGCCTGGGACACTTCCAGGGATATCCGTGTTCTCGGTGTCCCTCGGTTCCTAAACCAGCCAGTTCTGACATCAAATCTGTCACCTCTGCATTCCTCAGCCACACAAGGCTGTGCTCGGGCTCCAGGGCCACACTCAGCCGTGCCTGTCCTTCCTTCCTTGGCAGGACATCGAGTGCCTGGCCAGCGATGGGATGCTCCTGGTCAGCTGCTGCCTGGTGGGGCAGATCCGCGTGTGGGACGCGCAGACGGGCGACTGCCTCACTGTCATCCCCAAACCCAGGTACCATCCCCAAACCCAGGTACCGCCCCACCATCATCCCCAAACCCAGGTACCATCCCCAAACCCAGGTACTGCCCCACTGTCATCCCCAAACCCAGGTACCATCCCCAAACCCAGGTACCATCCCCAAACCCAGGTACTGCCCCACCATCATCCCCAAACCCAGGTACCATCCCCAAACCCAGGTACTGCCTCACTGTCATCCCCAAACCCAGGTACCATC